CTCTCGCTCTCTCTCTTTCTCTCTCCCTCTCTCTCTCTCACCTTCCCTCTCTTCCCTCCTCCGCTCCTCCTCTTCTCGCTCGGTCCCATCAGCTTCCTCTGGCAAGCTCCACCGATAGCTGCCCCGCATTGCCGGGGGGCAGGTCTCGCGTCCCGCCCACCCTCTCCGCGTCACCGCAGCCTCCAACGCCCCCTGGTAGCGAGCGTCGACACCGCACCTGCCAGAGGCGGGGAGGGCATCCGGAGCGCGAAAAGCGCTCGCTAAAACATTCGGCGCGAGCAAAAAAACTCGGGCGGCGGTCGAGCGCGTCGTACAAAAACGAAGCCGCGGCCGCGCAAAAACAAAATAAACATGGCCGACGACGAGTGCTGCCCTCTGGTGACGGCGCTCAGAGCGAGTTCGTGCCGGTGACGGTGGATAGGATCGGGTAGAGAGCCGCTACGATGCCCAGCAGTAGAACCAGCAGCGGCACGATGGAGCAGGCGGATATCTGAAACACGGACGAACGAGAATCATATATCGCACTGAAGCAGCGCAACGTGTTGTCCACACTTACCAAACTACATTCCTACCTACCTATCCTACAGTACCTTATCCATCTACCTACTATAGCTTACATAGTTATCAGGTGCCTTTAAAATTAACTACTTACCTCCCTACCTATCTACCTACCTCTCTACCTACCTTCCTACCCTACTTTAGCAGTATGAACCCAACTACCTATTTTCTTACCTTCATACTTACCAACAATCCCACTTACTTACCGGCATGCCTACCTACCCACCAACCTACCTACCTACACGACACAGACGAAAGTCCACAGCCTTAATGTTCACATAATATTATACAGCATAGTAATCCACCAAACAGGGTGGCAAAGCAAGCTTGCCCACTCGGTGAGGCGAGTAGTTTCATAATCGGTCACTAGATGGCGTACCGTCCTGCTAGCGTAGGCTAGGTCCTGGTATTCGCTGCCCATGTCAGCTAGCTGAGAGCGGAGCAGCTCTAGCTCTGCCTCGGAGCTCTTACAGCGCTGCTCCAGCTCAGCCATCTCACGCTGCGCATCCAACAACTGCAACAGTAACACACACACACATGTACATAGAGCTGTAACAGTAACACACACATGTACATATGTCAGCGTTTTCGTGTAAACGCGTGTCGGTGTTGAAGCCTGACTGGATGGCAAGTGTGCGCGTGCGCGGGTAAAACTGATGATTTACTGGAAACACCCGATGGGCAGCTTTATGTAGTAGTAGTAGTAGTTAGTGTCTGTAGTCGTCACGGCTGTGCAAGGCGAAGCTGTGAGAAGCCATTCTTAGCTTTCCCATGTTATGCACGCGCACGCACGCACGCACGCACGCAAGCACGCACACACGCGGCGTGTGCGACAATGCGCTACCAAACTCTACACGTAACATGTAACAGCTTTTCTCCTACTTGGC